GGGGGGGGGGAACGATTTCTGCCAGAACGGACGGCGAGCGACCCCTGAGATCCGTGGTTCAGGCCGAGCAGAATGAGCCCCCACAGAAACCAAGGCTCTGCAGCGCTGAGCAAGATAGCACACGCCACTCAGTCATACAGAAACCAAAACACAGCGGGGAAACTGCACGCTGCCTCCCAGTTATGGGAAAGTATGGTACGATTCTCATTAGCGCTAAACAATGGGCAATCATGAAACAGAAAATAGGAGAGAGATCAGTAATTTCAAAAAGCAAAGGCCGAGAATAGAATTTATAATGCTTGTACTGTGCTCCTGCCTAAGCATGCTTTGAAATGAGTATCAAAACACCAGCGAAAGTCAGGGTATTAATAAGATCAACAGAAAGCAGAATCAGGAGCTGAATGTTGAAGGGTAGCCATCTGAGGAGCTTGGTTTTGTGACAGCAGTTTGTATCAAAATGTATTGACTGCTTTCTTACAACCTGTTTTATGCAGACAGTGTTGAAATCCACATGGAGAACTGTTCGTATCTCCGAATACCTGCCCGAGCCGTGAGGAACAGATGAAGCTAGAGAAATTCCTTCTCTGTCATTTCTTTATTCAGTTAATCAACTCCCAGCCAAAGGCACAGTGCCGTACTCTAGTTATATTTACAATGTGTATGCAATTCATTAGTGAAAAACTGGTATTGACCAAGGCGATTTGTCCCAACACTAAGAAACCCTAAATAATGGTTTATTTTACACTTTGCTAATTTAGCCATTAATAGTTGCTCATTTCAGGAAGACACAGTGCAAGACATAACTAAAAGAGCTGGAGGCTGTATCATGAACAGCACCATCTGACTCTCATTTCAGCTTCAAAGGGCTTAATTGGACCGGTTATTTGTTTTAAGGGGATTAAACAGGTTAACCCACATTTTGGGCATGGGCAAATTAACGTTCCCTTTAAAGACAGCGTGTAACGTGGCAATTACTGTACGTCTGGCGAAACGACAACAATCAATATTTTCACACCATTATTTTGCAACATTTTTTCCCCACAGATCTCCCCCCACCAAAAAAAAAAAGCGAAGGTTGTTTCCTCAACCCTCTCTTGTTAGTTTGACGGCAGCTCAATTTCTCGAGAGAGAGAGAAACGAAATACTTGCAGATGTGTTATATGTAGGTCTGCAGTAAGTCACCGATCCATCCCAGGGCACGAGTCACGCACACAACTGGGGCGATTTTTCCCAGAAGCCAATTTAACCCACCAGTATGGCTTTGGACTGTGGGAGGAAACCCACGCGAACACGGGGAGAACATACAAAGTCCACTTACAGGAGGTGGCACCCCAGGGCCCCAGTGTTGCGTCCCACTTACCCCCCAAATCATGGACAAGGGACCAAAAGACGCGTTTGCATCACCGTTGTCCAAATCTGCTTTCATTGAACCTCCTTCTCCATCTAACCTTTGTGACCTAACTCGCTCTTTCGTACCGGTCACTTGTTCTTAATTTATGCCCCCGCTCAGTTCCCCTAAGAGTGCTGCGCGCTGTGCGGAGTAAACGCTAAAACGTTTCAGTAAATGTGAAAAGGTTACTTTACTTCGCCGCATGCCCTGCATCTTGGTTTACCTTGCCTAAATTAAATCGATAAATGCGAGAAGCGGCAGTTGGGGTTACATAAGTATT